CTGCCGCGGTCGGTGGCGGTCCTCAGCAGCTACCGGCATCCGTGAATCCCTTCGTCACCGCCACATACGCGCAGCACGCGACGGTAAGTCGCATTCACTGTACTTTCCAATCTCTGTGTTGACTTTGTCCATGACAATAAACACGAGACCGTCGCGCGACAAGTGCCACAAAAGCTTGAACGAGACACGTAGGTCACTTTGATAAGCGTGTAATGCTCTGCGCGTGCGATATTTACAAACTGTCGTAAACGAGGACTGAGGAAGTATGCCATTTACAAATTCGTGTAACTTCTTTGGAATCGTTTTTATATAAAAAAAATACTAATAGCGCACTTTTATTTTCAGTATGTGTGTGTGTGTGTGTGTATGTGTGGAATTCTTCCTTATCTTAAAGAATTGTTTAAAGTTTCTGCTACATTTCGAAATGAATCCTACTAATTAAATAAGAAAATAATGGTTCCGAGATTATGGGCTAACTTCATGTTTGTATTACATGCAAGTCATTGATTATGTTATGATATGATTTATAGCGGGGGGAATGCTAACTTCGTGTAAAGGCCTATAGCCCTTGGCACACAGTAAAATGTAATGCAGTAAGACGTAAGCAATAAGTTAATTGGTCAATCACACAGTAGAAAACATAAGGCAATAATAATGTAAGTAGTAGCGAATTCAAAATATTGATTTTTTTTATTTACGTCTTACTGCTTAAGTTTTTTATGTGCCTTTAGCCTGTTGTAACACGACTTTAAAATAATACATGTTGTATCGATCAATAGTCGATTCGATAAAAGCGATAGGTTCTGTAAAATCAATTGTTCTTAGCTCTTTTCGAACATCTTCAGTTATCGCACAGTATTGATGGTGCTTACAGTATGGTGGACAGCGGGTGCCTACAGCTTCATCTCCAGCAAACACTAACAGCAGCTCCAGTAGTGCCACCGGCAGTCAAAGCGGGACAATGAGCACGAATCTCAGCAACAATGCCATGCAGGGTCAACAAGCAGAGCAGCTGTCTAAAACGAATCTATACATCCGTGGCCTCAACCAGAATACGACTGACAAAGACCTCGTTAACATGTGTTCTCAGTAAGTAACGTTATACACGTGATCGTAAATATTTGTATATCATGATGAATCACATAAATATTATGAATTCCTCTTGATATTTATGTCGTACTTCGAGTCAAAATTTTGTATATTCAAAGTTTTTAATGTCATATATGCCAAGTAGCAATTTTGGGAATTGGACCCGGATCTCTGATTGATAAATGATTGTTCTGGCACTGCCAGCTGGGAGCTATCTAGCATCTCAAATGTAAATTAAAGTTATTTAGTACAATATACTTATAACTTACACATAGAAATTGAAATATATAGAGCTATTGCTTATTAATAATTATATTAGTTTATAGTAGTTGTATCAATAATTTACTTTTTGAAATTGCATAGTTATAAGTGTAAATTAATGCAAATACGTCAGACCAAAACTCAATATTTTTGCAGGTACGGAACTATAACTTCCACCAAGGCGATTTTAGACAAAAATACAAACAAATGTAAAGGTAATTAATGCATGCTCTCAGTATTTTTTAACTTCATGGATTTTTATACATATACAATATACATATACGTATAATTCACATACGAAGTTTGTTATTTTAATATGTCTCGTGACACTTTCAATGAGCGTCATGCGAACTTTTATAGAGACTTTCTATTCAAATCGTAATAAATACACGTGATAGACAAAATATTTTCTTTTATAATTTCTTATGATAAAATTATCAGCGGGGGTTTATACCGTCGTGATTGTGTTGTAGGTTACGGATTTGTAGACTTCGAGTCACCGATGGCGGCAGAGGGTGCTGTGAAAGCACTGGTCGCCAAGGGCATCCAAGCGCAGATGGCGAAAGTGGGTATCTGGTTGCTCCGTAGACTGGACAGTGTACGTGGTTGTGCATGCAAGTACAGAGTAATACCAAAGTAACAGTAAACCTCTCTTTCTCTCTCTCTTTTTCTCTTTCACTCTTCTCTTTCTTTTTCTCTCTTTCTGTTGTCTGTATCATTTTTATCCTGTTCTGTCATTCTGTTATATTGTCCATCTGTTTCTTCGTTCGTCTTCTCGTCGCCTCGTTTTATTCGCGAAGCCGTTTCGTCGAAGAATCGATCAAGATAGATTTTCTCACGTTGTTTCCGGGTACGAAACAAGACGCTTTTTCGACATCGATTTCTCTTCTAGTGCCTGTAGTTCGAAACAAGTGTTATAGCGTATTTCTGTCAATTGCAATATATATGTATAATTTATAAATTTTAGATTATTTTATATTACTATTTTAATAAACTCTCTTGTTTATTAAAGAGTAATTTTTAAAGTTTTCGTGCACAAAAGGGTATTGCTTTGCGCATTTATATCAATAAACTTTATTCAATTTTTGCTATATATACCTATAAGATTTATTATAAATGAAAATATATCTTTTATTATGTAAATGACATGTTTTTTTTCATCGATTATTTGTCGATGTTTCGATTTTATTTGTTTCCGTTCAAATCTAATAAAATTTAAATTTTGTGAGAGTTGTGTAATTTCAGAGAAACAAAGCATCTCCAGTAAAAGTTCTAAAAAACATCATAAATCATTATACATTTAATACATACAATTAATTCGGTAGAAAATTTATATTTTATATAGCGATGAGCACATGTTTCCAATAAATATCTTTTTGTGTGTATATTTTTCTATATGTCGGGGACTATATTTTTTCCATCGAGAATCTGTCTCTGTTTCTCTCTGCCTCTTTCATTTATCTAGAAATTTTCTCTGATACTTTGTCTGTTATTCTGTCTTACGTACCTTACCTACCAAACCTTTATCGGTGCTTGCTGCTATACCTCGGCCACAAATACAGCCGATACTATGCTATGTCGACATTATGTCTACAATCGCCATGAGAATTGCATTCTGCAAATTTCAGCATTAATTTCGAATCTCTCTGGAAATTCAATAACCTGTCGATATCCACGTAAGGTCGTATTCATAATCATTATTTAATATATAGGATTGTGATTTCATGAATTTCTAATTATCTAATATTTTTTTTATTTTTTAGAAGCTTATAGGCTTCTAATATTCTTTGATCTATAGAAAAATGATACAAATTATAAGAAATGTATAGACAAATGATATAAATTATATCGTCAAGTAATTGATAAATGATAGATTCAACTGTTAATTATATAAAATAATATATTTAAAGTTAACATTTTTTTCCTATTATGTCGATATCTGGTTTCATATAATTTTTATGTATAATCAATGATAATACTGATATATTGTGAAAAATAGTATTTATAATTGTATTTTTGGCAGATGTCAAAGCAAATCTAATTAATAATTATTTGAAGCTTATTTACTGAATCAGTGATTAATGTATAATAAACAACAAACTTGAGTGGCTATCAGTTAATAATTACGATTATTTAAATAGTAATTCATGAAATTTAACTCAGCTAAAGGATCTATAAGTTTAAATAGTTATAAATATGTTTGCTATTAGAGATAAAAAATATTTTATGAGATTATCTCCATCTATGAATACCGTCCTTGGAACTTGACTTTGCTCGCTAACTTGATAAATGATTTGACAACAAAACGAAAAAAAAAAAAGAAAAAAGAAAAGTGTTATATTGAAGTATGGCAGCATAAGCGTATCAGTAGTAGCTCTAGCATAGTAACATCAATATATTGTGCAACGTTTATTCTGTTTCCGTGTAACATTAGCAGTTTAAAGAAAAGAGTAATTACCTCAAACCGTAATATCAGATTAAACTTGTCAATGTCGACTCGATAGCAGTGTTCGGCGGTGTGATCGTCTATTTCTTTTTCTTGATAAAAAATAATGATGATATGATTCGCGATTATTTACTTGATAATTATGCTGATTTAATTTTATTAGCGGATCAAAGATTCGATTGCATTTCGCCTGACTCTGCTTTGCGACAGTCGTCTCAGTCTTACGTTCTCTTGCATTAAATCCTGCTCGAGACAATCATAAGTAAAGAAAAAGCACACACTGCCGAACGAGAGAGTATCGGCCTCCCGCCTGTTTGTACTATTTGTCCTTGTACGACTAACTCCAATGGAATAGTCCTTTAAGCTGACCGTGGTAAAAAGCACGGGGTGTGATGACCAGCAGCTGTGTAAAATAATGATAATGATGATGTCAATCGCATGCGATATGATATAACTAAAAGCGAAACAATACCGTAATTTCGGTAAATCCTATAATCGTATGGTTACGCGGTTATGTTGTTCGGATATAGGCGTTGTTTTTCCTCGAGGGGTGTTGGTTGGGTCGGATTCACACGTACACTTGTCTTACTTCTCTTATATACAAATATATAATGAAACGTTAATCACACACTTTAATCAAATACACACCTACAGGTTGCGAAGTGCATTCGGGAGCCAGTCTTAAGATTCAGAAAAAACGGGACCTCAAGTTTGGTAACTAAACACTATTTGTATTACATAAAAAAAGAGATTAAACAGAATCAATATATTTTATGTAAATCGCACAAATAATAATCATGTGAATATAAAATGATGTTTATTACAGAGGATTACAGAGAGCTATAAATAACGGAGTAAAAGAAACAATCGGAATCAGATAAAATGAACAAAACTACTCGAGAGAAAATGTCAATGATAAATCAAGCTGTTGAATCTTATAGAAAAGTTCCCGATAGCATAGGTCGTATTTTTGACGAATTTGTAAACTGTTCTATCGGAATATAAAAAGTACAATTAAGACATATTGCAACAGAACTCGATTATTTGAATATCATTTAACCGAATATTCGGTCATTCGAATGGTGAGAAACTGTCAATGATTATCCGGGCGACCGCTTTTGCGAGAAAACGTTCGTTCGAACAATTGCATATTTTCTCTGTATTATTCGAATTAATTATCAAACGTTCGGTCAAATAGTGTTCAATATGGTCAAGTTTCTGTATCTTATATATACCAGGATGTCGCGGAATGGAAGACGGTGCTGCGATTGAAACTGTCGATAGAAATGGAAAGTCGATGGGCTTGGAATTTGCACGCATTTACTCGAAAAACAAAAAAGCTCCGCTTTGTTAATAATCGACACTGTCTCATTCCATGGCAGTCCTCATACATATGCGCACGTGGATATATCCATGCACGTATACATATGTATGTATGTATGTATATATACATATATATGTATGTATGTATATACATATATATTAAAATGCCATCAGCTTGGCTTATATTATCATGATATTTTCATTATTTGTTTTTTTGTTTTAATGCATTCGCAAGATTGAAGTAAATTGTCGTAAAGTATAAGTATATACTCAAGTAATCGTAGAATACTTTTTGATTGGTTCGTTGACAAAAGTGGTGGATCTCGAAATATGCTTGAGGGTGCATCATATCTCATCAATCTTCAGACACGCATACGTTTTTACTTTTTTCTACATTCTCTTCATTTCTTTTTTCTTTCCTTTTCTTTTCCCTCCTTTTCTTCATTTGTTCTCTATTTATCTTATGCTCTCCTGTGAAACTCATAATAAACAGAAAATCGGAGCATGAACACATGTATATGTACGTCCATATACTTCACATATATTATGTGTTTTGTGCGACACTATACTCGTCAAGAGTTGCTCTCTTTCTTCACATTCGTTCATTACTCATATACAATATATAACTGTATATACATATATGTATGTATATATATATGTATACGTAAAAATGCCTGTGCTTTTCTTTATCATGCTTCTCTTTCTCTATCTTTCTCTCTCTCTCTTTCTCTCTCTCTTTCTCTCTTTCTGTTTCCAATGAAATGTCACATGTTACTTGACCCTATTCTTTATTACCGCTTTGAATGGTTATTTGTAAAAAACGACGAAGACGATTTTCGACACATGTAAATAACATTAGAAACGTGAAGATAGATGTACGTTATTCGTATATAGGCATATATGTAATACTACTATATTGCTAACGGAGCCTCTTTTTGGGAGTACAGGGTGTGCGAAGACAGCGAGATAGAAAATATCGGATTTCTCACTTCCACAGTGTATTCGAGTGTGGTGTGCATGCGCTGTACACTATCTAAGTGAGAGGTAGATATTCGTCTGCACCGTAGTGTTTTCGCCAGCTTTTAATTGGCGTTAGCAATATAAGAGTATTACATATATGTATATAGGTACTATTCTCGATTACATTCTTTTTTTAATGCTGCCGGTGTGTAGAAATTTGGCCGCGTATAGAATGTATTTAATTTTTTTTTTTTGCGGACGTTCTGTGATAAATTTACAATGTGTATCGGTTACATACGTCAAATTTTGAAACGCCACGGTAACTCGAGACGATTATCATTGCGCAAACGAGCATTTCGCATCAAATTTCACCTCACGTGCACAATACACGGGAAAATTTGTCCAATTCTGTCTTACGAGGGAAAAAAAAACGCGACAAAGTGTATGCATAGGTGATGTATTTGTCTCGTACGAATTAAATAGAAAATCTATTAACAAAATCTTGGTAGAAAGAATCACAATAGAGAGTTCCTATAATCTGTATTTTTTTCATATTTGTACATTGTATCTTATTACATTCGATACCTTTATATATTCCTGTTTAATCCTTTTATTCGTTTTGTATTACATCCTCGTTCGGACTACTTTTACGTCTAATTTTATTTACGTGCATTTTCTCTTATCTCTGTCGTGTCTACTTCTTGGGAATTTTATCCTGAACTATAAAGAAACGACACGATTTTTCGACAAAAATCCGAATTTTTACGAGGATTATTAACGTGTACAGTAATGTGTATGTTTATATGGATTATAATTTAATATCTACTCGCGTTATTAGCATGCTCTTCTGCGTGCGGAAAACGGAAAGCCGTATTTTTAGAGGTAGAAGTACGTTAGTCGAGAGAGATGAATCGAATGCATCCCTAGAAGCAAGCAAATTTAGAGAGCCACCAAGAATGTGGTAACGTAATTGCCATGAAGCATGATTACCTTCCGACATTGAGACTAAATAATCGTCCAGTCGGTTCCACGTTCCGATACCGGTTTTCGGTACCCATTCGTTCCCTATTTTTGCACTCTTTCTTCGAAATTTAGACGGCGATTACTGCTTAATGGTCTCCCTCGTAGTGTCAATGTTGGTAGAAACATTTTACGTTGTGCTATTTAAGACGAGGCTAGCGACTATACTTTTCACGCGTACGGAATTTGGATTTATTTTTTCGCACGTGTCCGCGTTACCGCAGTATAGAAACGTCTCGTTGCTATTTTGAAAATAATTTGAGAAAATACCTTTCCATGTGTTATTATTATTTCAGTCGTCATTCGATAAACTCGCGAATATCATTTTAACATTCCAGACTAAGCAAAAAAATTGTGCAGTCGCAATATACTCATTTGTTACCAAATTATTCTTTTAAATATTATTAATATATAATATGTATTAATGAATTCTCTTAAATATTTTTTTATAACTGCGCTGATCTATATAATGACGATGAAAGTAATGAATAGTACAATGTAGTAATGGTATAAATAATTGGACAGATTTTGCAAACGTGTTCAATCGGTTTCGAATTTGTGCATTATCGTCTCGTTTTGCCTGTGCATCAATTTCTGATCGATCGAACCTCACAGAGAGCGGCGATAGAAACGACAGTCGTGGAAGTTAAAATGATAATCCGCTTCAGAATTGTCTGGAAATCATTATATCCATTGTGTCGCCCTGTTATATGTAATTGCATAGTGTTTTTACTCTCTTCCCAGCAACAGGAGCAGGATCCCACTAATCTGTACATCGCCAATCTGCCGCTGACCTTCAAAGAGAACGACGTCGAGGCATTACTGGCTCAATACGGACAAGTTATCTCTACCCGTATCCTGCGCGACACTTCCGGCCAGAGCAAAGGAGTTGGATTCGCAAGGTTCTTTTTCTTTAGTTTTTATATTTATTTTGGTTTTCCGATTCAATTATGGAGGGTCACAGTACCATGCGACGAAATAAATTTTCGCATATCTTCCCCGGGGAGCAGAGGACACGCTTCTGTACAGAAATCATAAATAGTATGCCTTCTATTTGAAGTTAGTTTTTTCTGTACTAGCATTTAACTTGTAGATTCACAGATAGAGCGATGTTCTTGCTCCTTAAACGCAGGAAAAATTCCTGCGTATGTGAGGCGCGGATGGGATCGAACCCGGATCCACGGATTGCTAGTCCGCGGACCGAGCACCGAGCCACCCGGCGCCTCAGATTCGCTTTGCAAGGTTCGCATGAAATCTGTGATAGTATCTCTTTTGTCTTTTTTGAGGCGTGAATCGTATTTTAAATTATTTTACTATGGCTCTTTTGATTTCAAATAATACATTAGAACTTACGAGTTATAATTTGGTGTTTTTACAACTGCATTACAGAATGGAATCCAAAGAGAAATGTGAACAAATTATACAAATGTTTAATGGAAAGGCACTAACAGGCGCAAAGGATCCATTATTAGTTAAGTTCGCTGATGGCGGAAACAAAAAGAAATCATTGTTTAAGAGTACAATATGGAGAGAGACTGGAGAGGTACGTAATTATAATTATAAAATCTTTACAAATATATCACGTATGTTGATTAGATTAATAGACAACTTTTAGACTGTGTCCCCATGGAAAAAGAAACAGCGGAACGGAATATTGATAGAAAAGAGATAGGATAAGAGTTATCCTCATTCTATCTCTTTTCTGTCAATATTCCGTTCCGTTGTTTCTTTCTCCATAGGGACGCAGCCTTAATGTACTTATATTTTTATTTTCTTAAATGGTAAACACGATAGGTCATATAAATTATGTTACATCAAGTAATACATACTAAATATTTAACATATATAATATAGAATTTTTTTGCTTAAATACAAATCTAATCTTTTATATTATATCTCAAAAACGTTTGTAAATGTTTTTCGGTTTATTTATTTTCTCTCTCTCTCTCAATTCTTGCACAAGTTATAGAAATATTTGTATATCTTAGAAAACAAACCTTAAAAGGCTCTATAAGTGATCATTTGATGATTGAGGATGTGCCAATGCTAATTTTTATTATTTTCATGTTTTCTTTCAGAATATGACTTTGAACTACGACACGAGCGGCGTTGGTCAGAACGGCGTTGCTACGACTCACATGCTTCCCACGACAGCTCTTACACAGTACAGTGGTCACTACAGTCAGGCATTGCCTGGTTACAGTGTGCCGGGTACTCCTTGGGTGGCTCCTTACCTCGTGCACCCTTCCCCGCCACATATGCAACAGGTCGACGTGAGTTTTTATACACTTTTTGTTCATTTTGTTTTCATTGTTTTGCACATAGGGTAAAGAATGTTTTTGTATCGAATTTCGATTCAAGAATTTGTAATTTTACATACATACGTGATCGAACATGACAAACTCTGTAAATTTAACATTCAAATTATATAAGACATTTAAACTATAAGACATTTAAACTAAACTAACACTTTCTCCTTTAAAATAGAATTGCACCTATTCTAACATTTTGTTTCCACAACTGGTGGAAACAATTACTCTTTAATTGAAACATTCGTATGTCTACAAAATTACTCAATTATTGTTAAACCATGTTTTTAGACACGCACTTTTTTCGTTTACCGCGTCCGATTTATGTTTTAGCTTTGTTACAAATTTTTTTGTATTTTTTGAATTTTTTTCTCATAAGATCGTAATGTTTATCATTGCTTCTGTTTCATCATCGGACTTTGTTGATCTCTGTTACAGATGATACCATCGGCTGATCCTAGTAATCCACAATACAGTATGATTCCTCAGCTTACCACGCAAATGTCTACTTTGCATCTTGGCACTGGTTCCGTAAGTTTTTTTTTATTTTTTAACAGCTGTCTAGACACAAATCTCCGAGGGACGTCTCAAAGATTCACATGTTTGTAACAATATAAAAAGATTTAAATCTACAATATATAGAATGATTTTGACGCTTCAGAATGTTTTAAATATTTAAATATTTATAGAATGTGTTAAAGATGCAAAAATTGTTTGGAGTTGATAAAGAGACCCCAAAAGTTTCTCGGACATTTGTATTTCTAGAATGAATTGATTTAAGCCAACAATGATAAATGATAACTGTCTTTTTATTTCTTCTTTTCAGTACATAGCGAGCCCGCATCCCTATCCTTATACAACTTATCCTGCTCCTAGCATTATTCACACTATGCCACTGGGCGAATCGGAGCAGACGAGTAACGCAGCGTCCCCCGATGACTCCTATCAGCAGTACCAGGCTCAACAGCCTAAGTAGGCCACGGTTTATAATAGGTCAGAATTCTTTCTTCTTCTTATGCCGTACGATGCAATACTGCAGCGAACTACAAATCCCTTAGCTCACAGTAAGACGACAAATGGATGATAAAGGGATCTTTCGGTTGCAGATGTACGATCGCGCTAAGGGTTACGTGAATTAGGAAAGGCTTACTGATTGACTTATGAAGATATGCTTAGAAGGAAGGCAACAAATACGAAAGCGGATTACACTAAGAAGAATAGATTTGAAACAAAAACTACATTACGTAACAAATAAGATTTTTCCTCACGATAAATTGATTTGCCAGCGTTTTTATACGTTTTATCCAACAGTAAATAGAGGAAAGTAGATGATATTTTGCAATGAGTAGACAGAGTGAATGTTGAAAGAATGTGTAGGAGCGAGAGGAAATGAGCGAGCGAGAGAAAGATTAGGAAGTACAGGAAGTTGAGTACGAGAACGATTACGTGTCGTCCGCGTTGAATGGCACGTGCTTCCATACTAGTTATGGCTCCATTAAAGCTACGTGATGGTAACACGTACACTCTCATGTACACATATACAGAGAGAGGCGAAGAGAGAGAGAGAGAGAAAGAAAGAAAGAGACATCATATACGACAGTAACGAAAAAACCAAGTTATTTACGAAGAACAATTTAGTGTCAAGCTAATAGGCTTCCATGATGTAACTTTAGGTATTATGTTTACTACGGACAGATGACAGAAGCTAATCGAATCTAATCTCGAGAGCTCGACAGTATGGATAAGTATTTTAATGAGTGAGAGCGAAAGAGAGAGAATGTGTGTGTGGATGTGTTAACTATAAAGAAAAACGAGGAAAGAAGAAGAAAAAGTAATGCTCAGAAATATACAAAGAATTCTTCCCGAGGAAATAATAGTAAATAATAATAATATACAGAAAGAACAAAAAAGGGAAGAGAGAGAGAGAGAAAAGAAGGAAGCGAGTGAGAGAGAAAATGTGTGAAAGAGAGAAGAGAGGATGCACTACTTCCAGGACGATATTGAGGGAAGAAATTCAGAGATTCAAAAAAGGAGATGTTTATTCGAAACGCGCGCGCGCGCGCGCGAAGATGTCTACGATGTAGAAACATACACGTGAATACAATTTGTTTTTCGCGATAGCACTTCACCTTATCCGTTCTCTCGCGTGCAGATTATGTAAAATGCACAAAACGGACACCTACCACCGCACCCTCATCAAGTTCATGTATCTTCGAGTTTTTTCCTTTTTTCATTTTCCGTTTTTATATTCAGAAACATTCCAAAAACTGGGTATACGCGTGCATCACTACGCGGAGATATTTTTTAATTGAGAATTCTGGAAGTACACCAACTTTTCTAGCGGCATCGCGCATCTCTATCGAGTGCGTTTCCTTGTTTCTTTTTTTTAATGACAATGAATTTTTTTTATTGTGGATTAAATTTCGGAAACAAACCGGGAAAAGAAAAATATGACAGTAAAATTTGTTTCTAAAACGAGAGCAAGGGGAAAATGCAATTTTCAGAATTTACGTATAATTATTGTACGAAATACGGAAAGAAAAAAATGAAATAGTACTTTTTAGAGTGTTGTATTTACGATAATTACAAGTTAGAAACGGATCGATATAAATTTTTTAATTGTACAGTGAATACAGATATTTTTTTTAGAATCGTGACTTTTCACACAGATCCGTTAAATAAAAGAAAGGGAAAGAAGAAAGAGAGAGAGAGAGAGAGATTTATATATATATGCAGGAGAAAATCGTTATAATATATTTTTACGCATCGTTAAATTTGATGCGAAGCCAAATCTTAATTTTCTAATTAATATATCTGTAATTGTTTTTGTATTAAATCTCTATACATTTGTTTTCGTTGTCAATTTAATAGATTTTGTACGCGTGATAACATTATTGAATTGGATTTTTGTCGGACTGTATTAAAAGAAAATGAAATAGACATTCACACACAGCATAGAGACAGTCCGTAATAATAATAATATTAAAAACAAAAAGAGAAAATCTAAGAAAATCAAATCGCGACAAGTTAAGCAACAAGAATGTGCGTGTGCGTGTGTGCGTGCGTGTGCGTGCGTGCGTGCGTGAGAGAGAGAGAGAGAGAGAGAAAGGATGATTGAAAATGTGTTTGAAATAGAGAGAAAGAGATTTAAAAAAAATAAAAAAAAGTAGGTTTGTTACATGATGAGAAACTAGAATGTAAATTAATTTATTTTATCGGAAGAACCGTTATATGTATGTACTGTCGAGAAAGAACAGAAAGACGAAAAGTAAAAACGCATAGATGCATCGATTTACACCATACACATGTATGCACGACAAATACACGCGTGTACAGACAGATCGAGGGGAGAGTAATCGAGACAACACTCTGTCATCTTTCGAGATGTCGAAATTGATGGCTGTAAATAAAATAAGTATTTGTCTAAATGATCAAATGGAAAATTCGATCGAGGAAGATTGAACTTCCTGAGCGCTTTTGCGACCGCGCGAATAATTGTATTTACCGAAATGAGTATATTTTCTCAAGAATTTGGAAATTTGCAAAACGCTTATATTACTTGATTTGATTAAAATACCTTCGTGTTGAGTCCCGTTTCAATCGTGATTATTCTTCACACGTTACAACCTGCGTCCAACGAGATCTCCATCTCTTCCCCTTCTTCTGGATGTCTCTTCTCCTATATCAATCACCACCATCATCATCACTATTATCATTATCACCATCATTACCATTACTATTATCATCATTATTCGTGCATCCGGCGGAGTTTCGCGTTGTTCGACTTAGGATTGATAGTTGAGAATTGAGTGAAGGAGCAATAGAGAAGGAGTGAGTGTAAGAAAGCTTTTTACCAAAAATATACAAGAACCGCGAACTACTCGCGCGACACATGAGAAACTAAGATGAAAAAACGGCAGTGAGCAGGTAGTTAGAGTTTTAGTGAAAAAAGAGGGAGAGAGAGAAAGAACGAGAAAGAGAGACGGTCGCGTAGTTATTATTATAATATTATAATAATGACGCTGTATTATTATAATTAACGATTTACTATTATTGACGTCATCTAAACGTATGAAAGATTTTTACACTGTTGAGACTTGAAGTAAATAATATATTTAGTTTATTTTGGTACATCACGATGACGAGAGAGTGAGAGTGAGAAATAGAGAGAACGAGAGAGATAAATTGATGAAAAAATAAAAAAAGCCGAGGGCGAAGAAGTAGAAAGGCGGAGTACGAGCTATTTTTTAAGAGACAGACTTTATTACTCGATTTGAGTCCATGCATTAAGGTAAAAAGTAAATAAAAAGAACGCAGAGGATAAATGTGAAGGGAGAATGATTTTTGTATGAAAGGGATCGTGTACGAAAGAGTGAGAGAAAGAAAGTGAGTGAAAGATGGGAAGCTGAGAGGAAAATGTGAGAGAGAGAGAGAGGGAGGGAGAGAGAGAAAAAGAGAGCGAGAGAAAGAGCGCACTAATTAGCGAGTGCGTATTGTGTATTTGTTGCACAAGGCGAGATTGTCACCACTTGACTGACAAAAAAATCCACATGTGATTTTAATAGTAAATTTTGAGAATTTTACTAAATAGAGACTTGTATACACTAAAAAAAGTAACTAAAGTAATTATCGTGACTGACCAAACGAAGAAAAGGGAAAAAAGGAGAAAAGCGAGTAAACAGAGCAGCAATAATAATTGCGTCGACTGGTTCAGGGGACGAAGAAGTTAAAGAAGAGGGGATCAAGATGGCGAATACAATCTATCGTGTGTCTAGCATCCCCGGATATGGAAAAAAGTTAGATTCCACAAGAGTGACCGGAAAAGAAGGGTAGCCGGAACAGAAAGGAAGCTAGAGGGAGAAGGAGAAAAAGAGCGATCGCGAGCGAGAGTATAGTTATTATGTACAGAAAACGTGCAGAGACGCGTCTTTTTTTTTTCTTGCGGCGACGTGTTTTTTCGCATAGGTAGAGTTGAACATGATGATTTAAAAAAACCGTAGGATAAGCAACGAGTGAGCGTGGACTCGCTCGGATTAGGAGATAATAGGAAAAAGGCGATCTTTTATCGGATTAAGAAGCGGCTAAGTTTATAAATAGACGTAGATAGGTAGAACAATAGTTTAGTTATATATAGTAGTTAGGATACGAATATGCCTCTCATCCCCCGTGTCCCCTATCCTCCCTCTGTGTGTTGTCGCGGGCACGGGGGGCACGGGCGTGGGGCACCGTTCAGCCTATGCACCTCGCACCCGTCAAGACTGACTGGCTATTCATATTAATTGATAAATATATATATATATATTATTCTACAGCATATATATATATATATATGTATGAACTACTTGTATAATTGTATAAATAGTAAGGAACTATTTGCTTGCTGCGCACCGCGGGTCGGGTGCGTGGGCTGGCCGGATGTGAGCTCTTTGAACTCTATAGGGTACGGAGGCTTGTAGGGTTTCCGCGGTAGAATTACCCTCAATCCGAGGACCGGAAACGCACGGAAACGATTCCTTCCGACTCTGGTCATTCGGGGGATGCTCCCATGTGGAGCGTTAGACGCGAAAAATCATACGAATTTTTTTTCCTATACGATTCTTTGCCTCTAACAAGAACTTTTTCGCCGCGAGAACTGTCGAGCCTTCGCAGCCCGGCCGCCAACAAGTTTCAGGCAGGAAAACGGTTCTTGCCGTTGCAGACAATGCTGCTTTCCGTAAAGCTTTCTCTAGAGTTTTTCGCGCGTAGACACTCTTTAGATTAGGCGTACTGTAGTTGATAGGCTGATTGTAGAAAAGGTGACGAGAAGGAGCGAAAAACTGATTGAACGAGAAGCGAGGCGAAAAAAATAGAATGTTTTTAAGAATAAAATAACGTTAGTCGAAATCGGCTTAAGAGAATGAAAGCGAATATGTATGTTTGCATGTATGAGATAGAGAGAAAGAGAGAAAGAGTGAATTAGCGATAAAGCGAGGTCCGAGGTGACTAGATCATTGTCTTGTACTTCGACTTGTACAGTCCTTAGCTTTCCAAGTTTTTAAGTCATTGTTTTACACGTGTTTGTTAAGCGACTTAGCAGTAATTACTCGAGACATCTTGGGTTTCTTCCTCCACACTTCCTTCTCTTCCTCCTCCGATGCATCTCCGTGCCCTCCCCCCGTCCCTCCTTTCTTTTTGCATTTGTACTCTGCTCGTTCTTCGTGTTCGACGGCAAACGAACCGACGAAGGAAGCGGAATTTGTAATATAATTCTACAACGGAACGAGAGACACGTACCCCGTGCGTATCGCTTATCTTTCCAAGATCAACGAGAGAGAGAGAGAGAGAGAGAAAGAGGAAAGAGCAAAAGAAACAAGGGGGAACGATGTCGTCGGACGCTGAGGTCTCTTTTTAAATCCGCGCGCGAGGATCAATTTGTAGAATTTCGAGAGTACTTTTAAGGCAGAGGTGAAAAGAAGGCGTTTAGTATGTAATGTGAAGAAAAAATTTTTAGACGTTAAGGCAAGTTGTGTCATAGTTAGTTAAGAGATCTAGGGAGACTCTTAGGAAGTCGAATAGGTGCTGTAATAAAACAAAGTTTAACACAAGAAACAAGTCAGAATTAGATTTTTCATGAATAAAGTAAATTAAAAAATTAAAAAAAAAATGAATGAAAAAGCTCGAGATAAGAGGAACGTAACACACGTGACGTTGACGACACAAGGGGCATAAGCCACTAAAAAGTGCCCTTAGTTTATTTTGGATCGTTTAAAAAAAACGCTAGTCTTTGTGTGTGAGAGAGAGAAAGAGAGAGAGAAAGAGAGAACGAGAGAAAGATAGTAATGTGGGGGTTTTTTTAGATAGGGTCTTCGAGAACAAACAGGCAAACAAATGAACAAAAAAAAGAAAAAAAAAGGAAAAAGGATTTAAAAAAACAATCGTACGACGAGAAAGAGGGAGAGATAGAAAGAGAGGGGCCGACGAAAGTGTACGAGCGAGAGGAAGAGAGTGTGCGCATGTGTGTACGTAGGTGTGTGAGTAACTTCGAAGAAAAAAAGAAGATAACATGTCTCGAAGAACCGTCATCTGCCTATTTGACACACAGCACACGCTTATAAGGAATACATACAGACATACACACATACAAAACACACACTTGTACAGAAAGAAAAAGAGGGAAAAAATGTGCGTGCGCTATTGCGGAGAGTATGCACGCTCTCCGCTGCTCCTGTATTATTACCGCGTAACACCCTATGTGTGTCTCTACTATAGGGGCGTGCACTTGAATCGGTGGTCTTTTTAGAGTTACTTACGAGAGTAATGAAGAAACGGTTTGGTAAATAATTAAATAATTCGCGATGCGCGGGAAGAGCGAGTTCCCGGATTCGTCACGATTATCATCCCTTATTTTTGATCAATAAACGATCTGTTTTTGGGGATTTATGCCGAGCGACACGACTCTTACTTCACCCATCTGGCGTAGTTCTTGAAGAAAGAAATTCAGGAAGAGAGGAAAAAGAAAGCGGCTACTAATCCAGGAAAAAAAGAAGCATGTTTTTGTTAATATCCTTTAGTATTAATATGTTAGTAGTTTCAATTTTATTTTTTTGTTACAAGAAATGGATTGTTATATTCGTACCATCGATCAGGCCTTTATATTTTTCACATACGATATTATATGATTGAATATAAAGTCGATTTCTCGATGGACTCGTCAATATATTTTCATTTCCAAAGATATAAAAAAGCACATCATTCAAATTAAGAAATAGATTCTCAAACACGAAGGATAAAAATTACATCGTCACAAAAAGTGATTGAGACGCCTTTTGCGTAATAATCTATTTTTGTTAGTTTTCTAATTTAAATTTTATTAACTATCAATATGACAAATTTATGCATATTATCTTATGAAACGGGAGAAGATCGTTTTGTTAGCGACAAAACAATGTTTTATAACAAATTCTATTTGTAATCTATATATTTGTAATTAACGCTCTACGTAGTTGGATTTGAATATCCTTAGTGTATTGTCTGCACCACCGGACATTATCAATTTAGGATTGGACCAATCGCAGCTGAGGACTTTGTCTTCGTGTCCTAGGAGATCAAACAGCGGTGCCTTGGGACTAAAAAGGAAAAGTTAATTTTGTATAAACTTTATACTGAATAACATTACCATCTTTTGGATTTTCAATTTATTGCAAATATCCGGATCCGATTGTAATTTTAATTTGAAGATAATTCTATCGAGTAATAAATCTATAATACTAAGGTAACAGGTTTGTAACCAAATGAAATTTCACAAAAATTCCTATATTCTTTTAACATAGTTTGAGAATAGTTTGCTAATAGATATTTTAATCTGTAAATATACAACCTTCTCGTGTCCCAGAGCTTGACGATATTATCATATGCTCCTGAAATAAAAAGGTGTTCGTCTATGGTCGACCAGCGTACTGACGTCACCCATTGCGTGTGAGAGGTAAATCTAGCTTTCACAATCGTACCTTCTGAAATACATAATAAATAAATAAGTTTGATATACTTGCTTAATGCACATTAAATTAATAAGAAATTAAGAAAGTCGGAAATTCAATGAGAAATTTTTCTAATCTAAAATTTAATATTCAATTTTATCAATAAAATTCATAATTTTGATTTTCAAAGATGGCAAAATTTGAAAAAACCAACAAAAAGTACCTGTAGACCTTGGATCATACAGCCTCACATGTTGATCGGCTGATCCTGCTATCACAACACGTGATAATGGCGAATAATCAATATCAAAGAAACACTTGTCACCATATATTTCCTGCTTGATGCCGTTTAATTCAGTATCCCAAGTTTTTATAGTGTGATCCCACGAGCCTGTGATGATTTCCGTTTTGTCGGACCATACAATCCCGCTGATCGCTTGCTTGTGTCCTTTCATCGCGCATTTCGGCGTCTACGTGTAAAACAAATGCCATCAATAATACTTTTCTTCGTAAATTTTTTAATATTAATCTGTGTTTACTAATAAGAATGCATTGAAAAACTTTTAGTAGTATGATTGACAATATCAGAATGTCTATCAAGCAATTGGATTGAGATTTATATATAATAAGATAAACTTTATAATTTAATTAATTTAATCTGCGTACCTTCGTTTTATTCGCGTATTCCGATCTTGCTCTTTTCGACGCAGATTCTCCATCATCGTCATCCTCTTGCGTAGCTTAAGAAAGCAAGAAAGATTTGTCTTAATAATTAATATTTCACCATTTGCTATCAAATTATATCCGTATTCATATATTCTAATTTCTAATTTTCTTTTTTCGTATTAAGATCATATTTTTAAAATAAAAGAATCATAAAAAAGTTATGGGACATTGTATAATTTTAATTTTTCAAGAATATATATATTGAAAAATTTGAAAAAATAGTCCAATTTCTTATGCTAGTATACTTACATGTTGACCAAATATATAGCATATTATCCCAGGCACCAGTTGCCATTAACGTTTTATCATAATTAATGCTGACTGCTTCAATGCTTCTTCTGTGTCCTTTGCAGATATGTATGCATTCCACAGAATTCTTCGTTATATCCCAACTCCATATCATACAAGTTTGATCCATCGATGCGCTATATACGTGTGTAAAGTCATTGTTAACTGTCACTCACTGAATGCTCAAAAATTCACTTATATATCACGAAAATGTTTTCATATTGATTTGGACGAGTCTACTTGACTATATATGAACAAAGAAGTTTACTGTAGATATAATACAATATCCAAAATATATAAAATTGATGCTATTTTTGGCAAACTACCTAACGAAGGAAGCATTATCGTCATTGAGAGATATCCAAGCCACTGCTCTGACAGGAGATATATGTCCAGGAATCACAAGATGATGCTTGCCTTTCAATGTCCAAATGTGTAGCATATTATCATAAGAACCAGTTAGGATCCTAAATAAAATCATTTAAGACATTAATACTCCAATTAGACACAAAATATGTTTTGAAATTATTTTTGTAATTGTCTCAATTATTAGATACCAACCATTTTCCACAAACAGCAATAGCTGATACCCAATCGTCATGTATTAGGCAATCCTTTGGCTCTGGTGAAGGATGCTTTTCCACATACTCTACATCTATTACATCCTCTGTAGAAATTTCTCTATCAGTGATGTGTTCTATCAAAGAGCTACGTAGAAATTGTGAGCATATCAGGAAATCAAACTCCACTTGGTCTTGGATATCATTCGATTCTGTGAAAAATCAATTTGATCTTCAAAATGATCAGGAAGTTTTTTCGTAATTAGATAGTTCTATATAATTCATGAAATTAATTTTAAAATATATATATACATTAAGTATGTTACAGGCATTCTACAATAAGCCATTAGATTTAACAATTGCAAATGGTTTAGAAGGAAGTAAGAAAACAGATAGTACAACATATCAAAGCGATTTTCATTAGTTCTTCCTCACCTCTCAGAAGTTCGTTTACCAAGGTGTTTAATTCGTCGGTGATTATCGAGCTATGGACCGATAGGGGATAATCTGGTATCGCATATCTAGAATTGTTAAAATGAAAAAAAAAATGAACTGTGAACAAATGTCCAACAATAAAAGGAAAGAATAAATTCTTACTGCTGCTGCTTAGTTATAAAACGTATTTGTATCTGAGTTTCGTCCTTATGGTCCTTATTCGTGCTCATGGCTTTATCTTTCGATTTCATTTTAAGACGATTCTTCTTAATAGATTCGATTTCCATGATAATCCCTTTAAATTATTCCAAATTAACAGATTCTTAACCTCACTTCTCACCGCCACGAATTTCAAACAAGGTGTGCACACGTTAGCACGTGCACCGACGATAACCAACGATCACCCCCAGTGTTGTTCCATCAGATCAGTGAAAAATCTTCCGCGCATGCACGAAAATCCTTCAATGGCTTGATAAAACCTTCCACCAATAACCACAAAGGAAGTATAGTTCGCACCTGGGGATTGATTCTATATCGTGAAACGAGGTGAAAATTATAAAAGGGAGCGTATTAAGTGTCGTCTACAATATGCGAAGTAAGCTTGGTTTAAGAAGTAAGAATAAGAAATTGACCAATCATAGTCGAATGTGAGAAGAATAATCGACTGTGATTGGTCAATTTCTTACTCTTACTTCTTTAACCAAGCATACTTCGCATATTGTAGACGACACTTAATACGCTCCCTTTTATAATTTTCACCTTAGTCACTCGAGTAATGCGAGGTCTACAATAGAAGTCGTAGCAGTCGTGGATCTTAAGTCGTAGAAAATTGACCAATCAGTCGAATATGAGAAGAATAATCAACTG